TAAAGGCGGGCAAGGTTTGCAGACTCCAAACCCTTAAGAGCTGTCTTAAGGACACGTATTTCCTCCCCCCCCTCCCCTTTTTAAATAATGTTACACTTTTTAGTATCTATTTCAGAGTCCTATTTAAAACTATTTATTAGTGAACACAGGACCCGGAACAACAAGGTTACTGAGATGATAGTTCTTCAAAGGTTACCGATGATGTGGTTTATACTGTGCCTTAATAGTAATGCTATTTAAGATATTTATTTTTAAGTTTTACTATGCTGCACTCTAAAGAAAGGAACTTTAGATGTGACACTGTAAAATTATGTATTCATCTCATGGCATAAATTATTTAGTAGGTCTAGATGTAGCATATTAAATATTAACCTATTCAGCTAAAGATGTTGACGTGGATTTATTTAAATTCGTATGTGCACTGTATAAGAGAGTACTTTTACATTAACACATTTTAATTTATTTTAGTTTCTAGGTTTTTTTTTTAAAGCAGATATATTGCTAGTGTCATGCTTCCTTCTTTTAATTTTCGCTCGTATAGATCTCATTTATTGGTACTTTCGTTAGTTTAACACTATTCTTCTGTAGTTTATGTAGTTTTAAATGCTGCTTTACTTTTTCCTTCCGAAACTGCAATACTTGCAATTTTTATTCTTAAACGAAATTGAATACTATTTTACACTGTATTGGATTTTTATACTTGAACAATTTCATACAAGGGAAGACAGGTTAGCATTTTTATGGACTTTCTCCATTATCACTGGATTTACTTTTAAGTATTCCCATACTAGACAGTGTTATGTAATGTGGACATGACTCTCCTGTGCAAATTATTTATTCATTGTGTATATTGCTTTATAACATTTCAGATCTTCTAATCTATTCACTTGTATTAAATATAATTTTTAAAAACTTCCGTTGCATCGATTGTTTCTAATTTTGTCGGAAAGGTTAGAACAGCCTCTCCTTTTAACTAGGATCAATGGCCATGGTTTACATGTAACATTTTCAGTGAGCAGAAAGCTTCCCAGATGCCCTGTGTTTATACGTTTTCAGTAAATTTTATTAACTCAGCGTCTTCCTTCTATTGAGCAAATGATATAGACCCTCCCCCAATAAGTGAATCGTAAAGGACTGTTCATGTTGCTGAAAACTGTACAAGTAAAGGTCACTGGAAAGAGTGGGCTGCGGAGGGGGTCAGTCCATCTGAAGCTGGAATTGGGTAAACTGAGGTTTGGTGTTAGACTACCACTTTCTAGTGATATGAGTGGAGCAGGATGCTTTTGTAATGGACTTTTTGGGTGAGATTTTCATTGATTTCTCATCTATAATATTGGGACAATAATACTTGTTTCATGTGGTTATTTAGATAGTAAATAAAATAAACTGTATCAGCATCAAGGCCAAATATATAGTAAGCACTTGATAAACGGTACACTGGTAGTTGTTGTAATACCCGATAGTAAAAGCTAATCCAAATGGAAGTCACCTGCTGGAATGTTTTCATTTTTAAATTTCTGTGTACATTGATGTGGCAGTATGTAAGAATTTTGATGGCAGAATTCATTTGGCTACCATATTGATTGTCTTAAAGGGTGTATGTTATGTTAATTACGGAATAGATTGTTGGTCAGTCAGTTGGTCTTGGTACTTACCAAATCTGTGATATAGTATCTTTTATTGAATTCCATTACTTTGCAAAAATTATGAGCAGTAGAAATTTGTGATAACAGATTCTCTTGTGGTTTCCACTTTATTATAAGCAATATCCTATTTAGAGCCAGCACAGTCTCAAATTTTAATGGCTTTTTATTTTCTAAAGAAAAACAGAGACCAACTTCTTCCCAGGCAGGAATATTATTGCACCTCTCAAGGCATTATTTTGGGTCAGTAAAATAACTTCTAGGCTACGTAATTCTGTCAGTGCATCAAGGATTATTTTACTCTGAAAGACACGTTCTCCATTTTATTTTTCAGATTGACAAAAGGTCACTTTTGTCCTCAATAAGCCATATATTGATAGCTGAATTTTAGAATGAAACCTCATTTGATTTATCAGTGAAGAATAGGTCAGAGAGTTCTGGGAAAAGCTTGTCTGAAAGAGCCATACTCAGGAAACCCAAAAGCCCACCTATGCTTGGTTGTACTTTCCTTGGGCGTGTTTCTGATCTATATACTAATAGTATTAGCAGTTGGAGAGATGGTAAGATTTTTCCTTCCTAATACTACAGCATATACTTCTCTTTTTTTAATGTTTATTTTGAGAGAGAGAGAGAGAGAGAGAGAGAGAGAGCGGGGCAGAGGCAGAGAGAGAAGGAGAGAGAATCCCAAGCAGAATCTGGTCTGTGCAACACAGCCTGACACGGGGCTTGATCCCACAGACCATGAGGTCATGACCTGAGCCAAAATCAAGAGTCGGATGCTTAACCAACTGAGCCACCCAGGCGCCCCACAAGATGTATTTCTAAAACTAAATACAAGTTCTCAGTGTCTAATAAAGAGGGGAGAGGAGCCATGAGCTAATGTCTACAATGGTCAGAAAGATGGTTTCTGTTTCTAGAGGTACAGAACCCGGTGGGTCTGAGAAACAGAGCCGGCTGAGTCCTGGTCTCCCTGCTTACCAGCAGGATGACCTTGAGGCACTTTACCCTGGAAAGATGTGAGTTGATAGTACCCAACCTAGTGGCTCTATTTACCTCGCAGATTGTGAATTAAGTATATGAAAGCATTCTAAAAATTGAAGTATTGGGCAAATGGAAATTATGCTGAGGGAATGTATACAATATTAATCTGGAAATTGATCCCCATTGTTCTTGCATTGAATGACCCTTCCAAAGGAGGACAGAACTGTATCTCAAGATGTTCTTTCTTCGGTCCCAACCAAGTAACAGCTAAAATCTCACAGGAGTGGCACAAAAATAACCCTGAAAGATAGAAAGATTGCCCAGATAGGGGAAGGAAGGGGAGAAGAGAAGATTCTCGAATACATTTCTCTCACAGGGGAACTATATTTAGCTCCTTCCTCAGTCCTGTCAAATATCGTTCTTCTTAATTCCCTCTGAAGCTTGAAAGCATTCATTAAGATGACAGCCTGAGGTTTGGAGGGGCAGAGGTGAAGAGGAACCAAAAAATAAATAAATGCATTTTCATGCTCACTTTTGTCCTCTCTTCTCCTTCAAGAGTTCTGGGCCGTTTCCATGGAAATTCTAACTTGTTTTCCTTAAGCCCTTCATACAGAAGAGGTTTCATTTGGGGTATTTGTTCTGAGTTGAATTTCAGAAGTTCAATAATGATTTTAGCCAAGTCCTTTAAATTCCAGGCTCTAAAACCACCATCGTAAATCGAAATGAGAAGGAAATCAGACCAGACATGTGTAAGCACTTGAGAAAGTGATCTACATTTATAGCTGTGATAACATAAATTAATTAAGTCCTATGGCATGGTGTTTGGTCGTTCTTGACCCTTGACCACGTGCTTCAGAGAGAAAGTCTATAAGGTCCCCTTTTTGCCAGTCACTTGTGTCCCGCAAGATGGATGCCATTGCTTTTTGAAATCCAAGATGCTACCACTGAGCTATTAATATACTTGAAGTGAGTTGGAGGCTGTGCTTTGTTTTCCATTCTGCGGCTCCTGGAGGCAACTGATTACGTTACAATAGGGATTGAGTACCAGTCCTTACTTTCTGTTCAGATAATGTGTTCATAAAAGGGCAACCACCTGAAACTGACTTCCAAAAAGGAGGTTGAAATACAAAAATCTAGTTTTGCCAGATAGAAAGTGTGTTTTCGCTGTGCTTTAACACTGTGTTGGGCGCCTGGGTGGCTCCGTCGGTTAAGCATCCAACTTCGGCTCAGGTCATGATCTGACTGTCTACGGGTTGGAGCCCTGTGTCAGGATCTGTGCTGACAGCTCGGAGCCTGGAGCCTGCTTTGGATTCTGTGTCTCTCTCTCTCTCTCTCTCTCTGCCCCTCCCCCACTCACACTCTGTCTCTGTCTCTCTCTCTCTCTGAAATATAAACATTTAAAACATTTTTTAAAAACTGTGTTCATCTGGCAGTCCCAACCAGGTATGAACTTGTTTCCTGGGTGCTCCGACCCCTGGCTCTGCCACCGGTACTGCAGGTGTGTGAGGTGCAAGAGACAAAGCAGGTGCCTTTGTAGAGTGTTAGAGTGTGCATTTGCATCCTGCACTCACATATGTATATTTTCACATTTGAGGAAAGAGAGATGTAAAAAGGATGGAGGAGAAAATAATGAAGAGAAAAGCACTAAGGTTACAGCATCCCTGAAAGACCGCTGAAACAATGGAGTGAGAGTCGCGTGGATTGCACCCTGTGAGGCAAGGGCTTGCCACTAAAGGGCCACGTAGGGGAGAGAGAAAGGCTGAGGTGGTTTGCCAGATGGCAGGACACTTTATCTGGGGATGGGGAGTTGGGGCAGTCATTTAAAAGACAATAATTGGATATATGGTTTTCTGTTTTCTAGTTAAAAGACATTTAGGACAACCGCTGAGTTTTTGAGCTTGGAAAGGTTTAGACTTTAAAAAGTTGGAGTTTAGTGGAAAACTTCTAGAAGCAGGCAAACATGGTGCGTCTGGTAGGATTAGATGGAACTTCGCCACAGACCTTGCACCTCCAGGGACATGGAACACTGGCATTCTTTATCTGTCATCACTTCCCATTTTAAGCAGACAAGCGAGTCAGTGAGAAAGGAAGACTAGAGAAAGTGTGCTTACCTTGCCATCCAGTATACTTTCCTCCAATGTATTGAAACATCATTTGTGGGGCACCTGGCCGGCTCAGTCTTTAGAGGGTATGACCCTTGGTCTTGGGGTTGTGAGTTTGAGCCCCATATTGGGTGTATAGGTTACTTAAAAATAAAATAAAAATAAAAAATAAAACGTTTGTGGCTGAGACTCAAGCTCGTAATAATTGGTGTTCACATGAGCTCTGCTGCGTCTGTGCTGATGCTGGTCGATACCTGTTGATGGACCTTTGTAGAAATAATGGCAAGTTGGCAAAGAGATGCGAGGAGGAAGCCTGCACCACTAACCACATACCACGCACCGGGTACTTCACATTTAATCCTCACGGCACCGTAAGGTAGGTGATAGTGTCCCCATTTTCCAGACAGAAGAGGGCAAAGGCAGGAAGCAGCTTGCCCAACGTCACCATCTCAGCATGGACCTGGTCGTGACCAGGGTCAAGGTGGGGTGGCCTGAAACCACATCCTGTATGCACACCACCGCACTGGGCTGCTTCCTGACTCTTCCCTTCCTCGCGAACCCTGTGAGTTTCCCCCTGGGGTTCGTAACACGGACCACTGATTCCCTGCCCTCCATCAGTTGCATATGAGCAAACAGCTACTGAATTAGTGGAAGGAAAATCCCCGCACGTCGGTATGAGTTACTGGAAAGAACGGGGATAGAAGATTTCAGAGGGGCCGCAAAAGCTGGCAGGACTGCCCTGAACAAATTTGATTCCTTCTCAGTCACAGCGGTATTCACTCTTTGGAGCTTTAGCCTCACATCTAACTGTGCTAACGTGTGCCTGCTTACAATCGGGGTACCATGTTAACAACTACAACAACAAAAATCCTCTGATGCCAGTTTTCACACTATGCCTGCTTCGTCAATAGTATTTTCAAAACACTGCATATGCTCTGTCACTGACCATGTTCAGCAATGCGCGTGGCCTAAATCACTGCCCGATGGAAAGAGGATGTGTTGGGACAGCGTGATTGGCAAATGTGAAGCTAAAGTAAGTGTTGGAAGTCCCACGAGAAGGCAGAATGTCAGTACAAAACCTTGACCTCACGGATCCTTTGTTTGATCCGTTCCCTGTGGCCTTTGTGAAGAGGCATCCCATCCCATAGCTCCATATCAGGAGTACTGGTAATACTCACCATCAGACTGAACAGCCTTCTCTTTACTCCCATTGTTCACTTCTTTACTATAAATGTCTACATCTTGGCTGGACATCCCTTTAAGCCAGACACCGCATACATTATCTTAAATCCTCACAGCCTCGCAGTAGGCTCCGCACGACCATCTTCATTTGATGGAGAGGCTGATATAATCTGCCAAAAGTCACAGCTTGAAAATGGTCAAAGTGTGAGGTGAACCCCAGTCTGGATGATGTCAAAGAGTAACCACCATCGGACTATTTTTGCTATCTCTGTGTCTGCAGGAATTGTCTGAGAAATTCCAAGAGAAGATTAATAAACATGCCGTGGGTTCAATAGACCAAGGGACAAAAACCATGTCTAAGGATGCTGAGGCAAGGTTACATGCACGATTAAAACCCTTAATACGAATTGGGTAACATATGTGTCTCCATGCTCATATTTTAAATTTAATTTCTGTGGTCAACGTGTGTTTTGTCATACTGCTAAGGATTAGAGTGATTATTTATCATCTTGATCTCCATCCACTTGTGCTTTTATGGGAAAGATATTGTAGTGTGATTTATTATTATGAACTACAATAAAATTGAATAAGGGTATATGTCAAGAACACCAATTAATTATAAACTTCTGGCGGACACTGCCAATTTTAATAACAACATCGGATTTAAATTGCAGAATGTCGTTCCTAAACCTGTATGCTTCAGGTCCTGTGCCGTTAAGAGCTGGCCTCTCGGTGAAAACCGAGAAGAGACGAAGGAGAAAAGGAAGTAATGCCCGACACAGGAGTACAGCAGCTTGAGGATGGCTGAGCAAGAGGAATGCACGGCGTCCTCACTTGGACAGAGCTTGAGAGGGGGAAGGTGCCTGGCCAAAGAAGCCACTGTGCTTGTTTCCTAAAGCACACGTGTGGACCGCCTTTGCCATCCTGGGCACACCGAGAATCTTGACAATTCACGCTTTCATAACAGCTGCATTTCTTATCATCTTTGGCATATTTCTTCAGCTCGCACAAAGGCTCTTATCTCGCCAACAGTCTCTCTCTGGACCGCTGTCTCTTTCAGCTGCTCAGAGGCCACAGTCCCTTAAATCTCCCAGCTGTCTTTCTTACCTCTCAGCCCTTGCTTCCTTTATCTGTCTGTATTTTTTTCTTTTCTTTTTTTTTTTTTTTTTTTTTTATCCCTCCCAGCTGCCACTTTTGGCACACTGGTCGTCTCTCCGTTCTCTCAGAATGAGACATTTCAGCATGCTGCTGTGGGCAAGGGACGGAACCGTAAGAATGCATTTTCAAAATTAGCCCTGCGATCTATGGGGGGGAGGGGGAATTTCACCTCGCCTTTCGTACACCCTGCGTGCCATGAATCAACCTGTGCGCTTCTGAAAAGATGAGACACCCCAGAGGCTGGCACAAAGAAAAGCCAGGGAACCACAGGGCTCTTAATTGTCCAAAACAGGAAATTTCTCCCCTTAGAAATGCAGATTCTCTGTGGCTGTAGGCTAGAAGAGTTTATGCAACACCCTCTCGGTTGGGTAAAATGTTAACTGGCATCCCCACTGTGTACAGAAATGTAAATGCTCGAAGCTGGAGAGAAATTTCATTTCATATTGGAAACTCTTCGGCTTCCTTTGCCAACCGCTAACACCTCTAGTTGATTCTGGGCTTGTGTAATCAATGTAATTGTCTCTCCTTGGGTAACTCTTGTAAGGGAGTTTTAGTGGTGCTGTGGGGTTACCAGGTTTTCTTAACATGACGGATTCTGAGTGAGAAGAATAATATTATCTTAGTTTGGAAGGATTTTTTAAAAACTCTGTGATAAGGGGCGCCTGGGTGCTCAGTTAGTTCAGCGTCTGACACTTGATTTTCACTCAGGTCATGATCCCAGGGTCATGGGATTGAGCCCCGCGTTGGCTCCTTGATGAGTGTGAAGCCTGCTTGGGATTCTCTTTCTCTCCCTCTGCCCCTCCCCACTCATATTATTTTTTTCCTCTCTCTGTCTCAAATTAAAAAAAACAAAAACAGAGGCGCCTGGTTGGCTTAGTCGGTTAAGCGTCTGACTTTCGCTTAGGTCATGATCTCACAGTTCGTGGCTTCGAGCCCCGCGTCAGGCTCTGTGCTGACTGCCAGCTCAGAGTCTGGAGCCTATTTCAAATTCTGTGACTCCCTCTCTCTCTGACCGTCCCCTGCTCTCGCTGTCTCTCTCTCTCTCCTAGAAATAAATAAATAAATAAATATATATATATATATATATATATATATATATAATAAGGGCTTGAGGACCTCAACAAAGCAGAGAGAGACAACTTCAGGTGCCACACTGCTGGGCACAGCTGAAGATTCTGGCCTGACAGTTGTCACTCCTTTATTCCCACTCAGAAAATGCTCAAAAAGTACAGATGTCTTGGGTCACCCCCTAGTTCCCTTTGAGGTTAACTCAGGACATATGGACAAATTTGTTCAAATGTCTCTGTGTTGCTAGTATGCTGTTAAGGTTATGATTCCAAAGAATGATATCAACCAGTATTGAAGGTAAAACTCTTGATCGTATGGAAATACATGCCCACCGTTCTCAGGTAAATGGGAACTTTGTATATACTTAATTAAGTCCAGGTTCTTGGAGGAGAGAAAGATCAACAGGCAAGGTTTATCCAAGCTGGATTTACTCACTTTGATTGCTTTCTCAATCAGAATCAGTAGCTGCGTCTAAATGGATTCTGTAGAAATCCATCTGCATCGATGATAGTCTGTGGGAAAGAACGGCTGAACTGATACCCCTGGGTACACACACATCTCCAGGTTGCAAAGACCAAACTCTTCCTAGCGAGTGCTAATGAGATCATAGTTCGGATCTTGATAGAAGTAGTTTGTGTTAGAAGGATAGAAGCTCTATGACTCTGAAAGATGAATCAGGATCCTGGAGTTCCAAAAATGTATAATGTAACTAAATCAGCTCAGTGCTCCACAGCTCTTGGGCAAACAGATCATGCAGTCAGTGGATGCCACTAATTACAATCGAAAAACTAAAGTTGTAATGATTTTTCATTTCCAGAGTTGTTCTCTTTTTTTTTTTTTTTGTCGTAACAGTATTCATTTTCCTGTTCTGTTACAATGATATCAACACTAAAATCTCTTTATCGGGCATAACTGGGCATTTCTTTTTTTTTTTTTAATTTTTTAATACTTATTTTTGAGAGAGAGAGAGAGAGAGAGCATGAGTGGCGAAGGGGCAGAGAGAGAGACACACACAGAATCCAAAGCAGGCTCCAGACTCTGAGCTGTCAGCACAAAGTGCAATGTGGGTCTTGAACTCACCAACTGTGAGATCATGACCTGAGCCAAAGTCAGAGGCTCAATTTACTGAGCCACCCAGGTGCCCCTGTGGGCATTTCTGATGTATAAGGCATGTTAAACACACTCCATGTTTCTGTGATTTTTGCTTCTATGTGATAGCGTGTAGCAGCTAACATTCCTGTGACATTATTAATTTTTACCAAATCTTTGAATAAGTTACTTTTTAAAATCTCTTCTAGAATAAACTAAAATGGTGGGAACTGGTTTCTTAAAATGAAGCTTTTCACTGTTTCATAGTCTTTCTTATAATTATTTACGATGGCACTCGTAACATTTTAATCATCTTCATGATTTCACTTATGTCAAGTTAGATATACCCAGGATGTGTTTATAGATTTTTTCAGACACAGAGAAGGTGTTAATCCAGATGCAAATCCAAGCATCAAACAGAATGTAGGAACATGCAAGTGCAGAGAAGAATGAGATCAAGTATTCTCTAAGGTAGAATAAACACAGCACCACGGCGTGAAGAATTATAAATATGAACGAAGAGAAAGAAGCATCGAACTGTTTGAATGCTTCAGCATCCTTGGCGCGATAATAGGACCAGCCCAACACTTAGCGGTATAAAATGAAAACCAGCAACTTGCTTATATTTGCTGTCTGTGGAGAAATTCAAAAAGGGCACAGTGGTGATAGCCCTTCTCTGCTCTACTGCAAGCCGCCATGATTGGAATGGCCGAGCCGACAGGAAGGCTGGTGGCCGGAGCAGCTGGAGCCCGGGGGAGTCCTTGCACAATGATCCCTCCAGCGGGACACTCTGGGAGTGGTCCTCCCTCGTACACAGCAGCCCAGAAGTGCAGGGAGCGAGGTGCAAGCCGCATGGCTTCTCCTGGCCGAGCCACACTGCGTGGATCCCAAGTGCGTCAGGCAGGCCCAGCTGGACTCAGTGGCAAGGGACTTAGACCCCACCTCTTGGAGGGAGAAATAAAAAGTATTTAGTACCATCTTTAAAACTGCCACGTTAAGAAAATTTTTATTTTCGGGGCACCTGGGTGGCTTAGTCGGTTAAGCGGCCGACTTTCGCTTAGGTCATGATCTCGCGGTTCGTGGGTTCGAGCCCCGCGTCGGGCTCTGTGCTGACTGCCAGCTCAGAGCCTGGAGCCTGCTTCAGTCTGTGACTCCCTCTCTCTCTGACCCTCCCCTGCTCACGCTGTCTCTCTCTCTCTCCTAGAAATAAATAAAACATTAAAAAAAAAATTTAAAAAAAAAAAAAAAAAAAGAAAATTTTTATTTTCAATATGAATTCATTTATCTTTATTTAATGCCTTTTTCATCGTAATATCTAATAATAATAATTATAATAATAATAATGATAATAAGTTCTCTTCCTTTTTTGTGGCTATATTTGCTCATTTTTTTGAAATGTAGGAATTGGTGTGTTGTAAGTGGCAGGGCCCCAGAGATATAGCTGTATAAAAGGCGACTTCTGACATATTACTGAGTTTTGATAATAAAATGAAAATATATTTACTCATTTATTTAGAGAGCAGGGGAGAGGGAGAAAGAGAGGATCTTTAAAACATTTTTTTCTTTCTTTCTTTTTTTTTTTTTTTTTAAGAGACAGGCAGCATGAGCAGGGGAGGGTCAGAGAGAGAGGGAGACGCAGAATCAGAAGCAGGCTCCAGGCTTTGAGCTGTCAGCACAGAGCCCGATGGCGGGGCTCGAACCCACAAACTGTGAGATCATGACCTGAGCCAAAGTTGGACACTTAACCGACTGAGCCACCCAGGCTCCCCTAAGAAATTTTTTTCTTAAGTGTGGATACTTGGGGGTCTCAGTTGGTTGAGTATCCCACTCTTGGTTTCTACTCAGGTCACAGTCTCGTGGCTCGTGAGTTTGAGCCGCATGTCAAGGCTCCGTGCTGGCAGTGTGGACCCTGCTTAGGATTCTCTCTGTCCCCCTCTATCTTTGCCTCTCCCCTGCTCGCTCTCTCTGTGCCTCTCTCAAAATCAATACATAACCTAAAAAAAAAAAATTAAGTTTTTTTAAGTTTATTTTGAGAGAGAGAGAGAAAGTATGCATGGGTGGGGGAGAGGCAGAGAGGGAGAGAGAGAATCCCAAGCAGGCTCCATGCTGTCAGCAGAGAGCCCAAAATGGGGCTTGATCCAGCGACCCTGGGATCATGACCTGAGCTAAGATCAAGAGTCGGATGCTCAGTCAACTGAGCCACCCAGGCACGGCTACAATAAAAATTTAGATGTCAATTGGACATATTAAGTAGTTACCACATGTAATTTATAACCCAACTTTTTATGAGACTGACACTTCCTTAACTTGATAACCAACTTGCCAGGTGTTAGGATGTGTGTCCTAGAGTTGGAATATAAGCCAGAGGAAAAAGAGCTATATCTAAAGACAAAGTGAATCTTGACAGTAGTGGGCAGGAACCCACATCCAGAATAAACCAGCAGACTATCCAGTTAGAAGGACACTGGAGTAAGAGGTGAAAG